GGCCGTAGAACCGAAAATCGACCTAACAAGTTAATGACTTCACCCTCCACATTAACATGTGTAGTTATGGTTAGTTGTAGTATAGGCGAAAACATACGCCATTACAGATCTCTCAGTTCGGATGGAAACGCGAGCAGTGTTAACTCCATCACAATGTATCACATACAGGACTTCAACAGCATTACGCAGTCTGACGGCACAACTCGACTGCACCAATAATTCAAATTGCCATTAGCTCCTAGATCCACCGTTATCTAACATCTAACACCGAACGAGACCTCACAGCGCGTCACAGCACTCCCTAATTTACTTGTATTTGCGCAACTTGCATTTCTTTCTGTCTTGTGTAAAATCGTAAGACAAAAACAAAACAGAGTTTACTTCTTAAATCATTCAAACGACGTTCTCAATTACATAGATACACAGTGCTGAATGGGAGCATGGCTGTGAAGATGAATTGGGTAGGATGTCGCAGAAAACGGTCGGTGTCCAGCTTAGGATAATGCCCTAGAATTTGCCTCAAAGGACTGAGGAAGCAACTAAATTTGTAAGGCAGGAAGCCCGATCTCCGACACAATATTCTAACCGGGGACTTCTGAAACAAGATACAGGACAACTAATTTCTCGGCCGTCTGTTTGTACCCCAGCATAAAGCTCTTTGAAATTTCAACGGGAAAACCTGCTAACTCCGATCTTAGCTCTGGATTTCACAGATAAACCCTCCACTTTACATATTACAGTCCTTGAGGGACAGTGTGAAATCATTTTATCGCTGAATGAACTTCAAAAATTCCTGGCAGGACAACAGCTCGATGTAACAAGCGGTGCCGACACCTAGAGACAGCTATTTCAGCAAACATCGAGCTGCAATAACGACTGAAGCAGAGGAACCGTTTGAAGCTATCGCCTTCTGGTCCTGTCCGTAATTACTAATTCGAACTGCTACATAAAGACAGAGCGTCATGCTTTATTTAGCCTTCTGTATATGAGCATGCGGATAAAGGCTTTCTTCTTTTAATCAACAAATGAACTCTTAGGATAGCATTACCCAAACGTTCATATTGCTAATGAAACTGTCATTCATAAAATGTTCTTTAACGAAAACATTTAGTGCTTAATTTCTGCTAAATTATAAATGCAACAAGAAAATAATAAAGACAATTCTGTGCAGTATGCAAGGCGGACCATTAAGGATTTGACATTTTTTTATATAGTACGGTCTATAACTCATAACAGTCATAACGTAGAGGAGAAAACTTTAAAGCATTTCCCATAAATGGTATCCATGCCTTACCGTGAACGAATGTACTCGTAACAGACGTGTTCCTCCACACTTGTGTGCATGCCTATGTATAATATGAAAGCGCTGACAAACGATGGAGCAATAGACTATACAGGCAACAGAGGAGGAATTTCGGTCGAACGTGTCGCCGACTGACGCCACAGACAGCCTTCAAGCGGGCATCTTCAGAACACTTGCATTTCTCCGTGAGAAACTATACATTTCAACAGCTTGTTTTGGTGACGTAAGTGTAAGAGCAATCACGCATTGCCATGTTCCATTTATTTTTTTTTATTTCGCGGATTGGAACGCTACTCTGCAAATAACAATAATAATAAATAATACATAATTATATGTGATACATATTACATAAATTAATAAACAGGGCCGAAAGATCTAAGCTGCGTTTCATCTCTGACCTCTAGAACTGTGAGACAGCAGGTTCGAATTCCGATCAATGCATGCTGTACTGCCGTTTTTTGTAGGCCTATTGTGTAGGGACAAACGCTGCGAGGGACAAATCTATCGTCCAGGGAGTCCTACTAAAAGTGTATGGATACAGCACTTTAAAATTTAAAGTGAACTAGGCCAGATGGCCCATCTGTTATAGCTGAAGAAGAATGTGGGTTTCTTGGTTTGTTGATCAGTAGTGGGTGCGATCAAGGCAGACCGAGGACGAACAGAAGTCGAATCAAAGATAATCCGACACCCTTGAGATCAGACCGGAGGCGAACAAGAGAATATTCCGAACCACGGGCAGTCAACATATTATGGTATCAAAACACCTAAAGAAGCTATCGTGTTGTTGGTTACACAGTTTTAAAGTACTCATACATGGAGCTCAAAGAGATTATACATGGAAACAAATTCAGAGGATGTTATTTGAAGTACGTATCACTTGTGTACCACAAAACTAAACTCGTGGCGGACCGCGGAGTGCTGAACTTCAGAGATTCAATCTGTATACTATCTCTGTTCCAAACATGCCAACTACCTGCAGACCTATTCAAATTTCCCTCAACAATATGCGAGGTTTTCTAGGCGGCAAGTAACATAAATGCCCGTTGCCGGGTGAAATGTAGTTTAACAACACCGCAGTTGTTATCCTAGCATTTTCAGGATTCAACTATTTCACCATGAACTGTCCTGAAGTTTCCTGGAACAAACATCCATGCTATGAAATGTAATGGCACTATTTAACAGGGAAACGTGAACTTGTGACAATGAGAACTGACACTATAGTTCTCTCTGTAACTTGCCTTTATACAGTCATGTAAATGCTTGCTCTATCCATTTCAACGTCAAAGTCTCTAGGATAGAAACGTTGCATTTTTCAACATATGAATTAATTTACGAATCAAATTAGGTATATTAATTGTAATTCTTCTATGCGTCGGTCCAATCGACAGAGTGCATAGATTGTCGACATTCTTTACAAACTAAATAGGAATTCGTCATGTAGGCATGTTTGTCCGTCTGTCTCTGACTAAGTTTTAGGGCCTAAATCACTATGAGAGAATCTGAAAGTTGTGCCATTCAAATTTCGGCCATATGGATCCATAGTAAAGCCTAGTTTACGTAAGACCATAAATTGACTTTTGTTGAATTCCATATAAGAGACTTCCAATAAAGTTGTTACGCAATTCCTATTTTCAGTCATTGTGTTTCACAGGAAAACTTTCCTATTTATCCAATAAATCCTTACGCAGATCGTGTTTCAATTTGATATGGGAGACTACAGCAGACCTATCTTTCTGTGAGGTTATCCGACCTATGGTCAGTTCAAAATATTTCCATCTGACCCTGTGTAAATCCCCAAGCAAGACTGTTCCTGGGTCGAGCATTTAAAGCGGTGAAGAAGGGAGCGGAGTGATGTGAAGGGAGAGGGGTGAATCGTTACTGCCTAAAACTGCGACTCCGCTGTTATAACTACACTGTTTGCATCCAGAATGGGTCTATTAACTTACAGGGATCTAAAACTAAATGAGAGAAAATATATGTGTATTATCATCCTCTTTTTGGCCACAATATCTACAGTCTACTGGCTCTTTGATGCAGAATACTTCGTTTCCTAAGTGGATACTAAATGTCTGTACACCTCGTTTTATTTTAATAATGGGCGAGGGGAAAAAAATCACAGTCTATCATAGGACTTCACGAACTACAATCTAACGCACATGCGCCAACCTAGACAGTGCGTATCCATGTCTTTCAGCCCCATAACTGAGGTTACTATAGCAACGAGTTGTTGAGCGTCAATATAGTACATGCAGATAAGTTACGTGGTAGATCAAGCAAGCATTGTTTGTTTTCTGTGTATCGTGTATATTCTGTGAGTGCTGATAACGTCTGAAAAACAGATCACGCCAATCTTACGTACCTTATACTACAACGGCAACTTAGTCACTTGAACGGTCGTAAGTTTGACCACTGCAATGTTTAAGCCTCTTATAAGCTTCTCATTTGAGCTACTAGTCCTCGTTATACAGCACCGGCACGGACCGCACAGAAAACCTCCCTTCCATTAGAAGTTTCTCAGTTGAACTACCAGTCCTCGTTATATAGCCCCGGCACGGACCGCACAGAAAACACCTCTTCCATTATTTCGAGCTCTCCCGTTGCCAGGGAAACGTGTCCACAGAGCTGTTCCCTAGCAACAGCTGTTGTCCTGTCGCCTGTTCAAACAGCTGTTACTTGGCAATGAGGCTACATGTCACAATGTTCTATAGCTGAACGTTTCATATCAAAGTAAAGAGGCATGCGGAAGTGGCTGGTGATTATAAATAATGAGTTAAGAAGGAGGGAGTAGGACTTATCCACATTACCATGGTAATCACTTCGACAGGATGAATAAAATCACTAAGTTCTGAGGCATACACCCAGGGACGTTCCGGACAATTCGTTTTATTGGGTCCTGCACATGAATTCACACCTCGATCATGATAATTAATCTAGATCATATTTATAAATCAGTTCCTAACTTACAATGAGCAGACTGCGTCTCCGCTACTATGAGCAATCGATTGAAGCTGTTCAAGGAAATAATCGCTGCTTATTCGGAGAATAATATAAAATGCATAAATAAATATTGCTTTTTCGTGTTAAAAACAACTGGTACCCACTGTAGCCATTGTACGCGAAAGAGTTAATATATATCGCCTAATTAATGTTGAAATTAAGATGAGTTACATTTATTGTGGAATCGTAAAGGCCGGTCGGTATATGGTCGTAAAAAAGTGGTACGGTCTTGTGTAAAACTGACGTCTTCACGACAGTAAGGCTCATATTGTGGCTTCTGGGTTATGACATTGTGTTCTGGGTGGGCACCAATGCTTGAGACTACCTTGAAGATGAGGGCGGTAGGTTCCTCCAAGACGCTGGTACCCACTCACCAGAAGACATCACGGCGTCAAAACCAGAATACCACAATATGAATATTATCATCTTTAATCTATGACAAAATATGCGGCCACAGGGAGCCTATGCATCAAATTAAGAAAATTAGGTAATATGCAGGAGTTCAATGTTTAAAAATTCCCGTTCATTCTGGTGAAGTTCTTAAATAATGGTTACAATGCTAGAAGAAAGAACGACCGCTGTCTGCAGTTGAGATTCCCTGAAGTGAAGATAACATCAAAGCACACACCTCGCCAGAATTCACAGCTGTAACGTAAACCAAATCGTCAGAATGATACTGCACTGGTTCGACTGTACTCACCTAATTGGACGTACATCTTGGGGCGAATATTCTCTTGCCAAGCCACATTTGATGACGTGACCACAATTCCGAACTCCGCAAGCCACAGTGCTACGATGACCAGCATGGCAAGAGGGCAGCCCGCACCGAAGACCAGCATTTTTCACTCCAAAAATTCGAGATTTACACACACACTAACACACGGCATAACAGCGTTTCTCTTTCTGTATTTTGTACTAGCACAACACTGCAGGAAGATCCAAGCGTCGAGGGCGAAGCGACTCTGGGAAGTGGCGATCGACGCGTCCCGACGAATCGCGCCGTCTCCCCTTCAACAACACGCGCGCCACCGAACTGCAACGGGGAAAAACACAAACAGTATGAAATAAGGGCTGTATACCCCTCAGCGAGCTCGATCACTAAATGAACAGAAACAACACCATAACAGAACGAAATGCGATAATGGCTTTCTTTACAATATATGTTTCTTAGTTTATTTTGCTATTTTCTCTCAAATGTATAAGACAACAGCGTCGAACTGGAGGATAACTGTGAATGATGAAGAGGGAAAATGAGGAAAAGGCGGTGCTGGGTTATTGCAAGGTGGGCTAGCACAGTACTTCCTTGGTTTTACACGATACAATCCCACATTACCTTATTACAAATATTACGGTCCTCAGAGATGACGTCGTGCAGTTTGTTCCGTAAGTGCCAAAGTTTCGTAGGAACGTACTGGTTCCATCTTCAGAGTACCAGTACCCTGGAGATACCTTCTATCAGACTACACAATGTCACATCTCACAAGGCCGTGAGGGCCTTAGGCCTCACGTCTGTAAGATGACTTTACAGCAAGCACGTAACAGATGTTAGCTAAATTTTATCACTAAATATAGCAATGTTGCTCTAGAAAACTGCATTGTTACTACAGCTGAAACAGTCTAGGACTTCAATAATACACTGCAAAATGGATTAAATGAAGCTTTATCGCTGCAGTAGGAACAATTACATCAGTGAAGATTAATTAAAGAGAAGATTTAGGCATTCAAAGGAAATAAAGGGAAGAATAAAATATGAATGCAAGAGACGCACAGTACAATGAATCAGAGTCCGTACTGGCTGCGCACGTGACAGATCACACCCTCACACCACTGAAGGCAAATATTTACGGGCATACTAAAATGATAAATACACATCTGTGTGCTTGTGTACAGGCCTACAGATCAACATACTCGTATAAGGTACGTACGGCATGTAGCACGCATAGGGAGACGAGAAACGTACACAAAATTTTGTTCGGCAAACTCAGAAGAAAGATACATAGAATTACTGGGTTTTTGGACTTTTTCCATCGTCCGGAATTCTAGGTAATAGAGGACACGACGTTTCGGAAACTTGATCTCTTTTCGTCTTCAGGTGAGAAAGGAAGACACCTACTCAGTTGGGCCCCTTACAAAGAGATAATCTCAATCACTGGACAACTCCTGTCAGACTTACCGTTTCCGAAACGTCGTGTTTTCTATTACCTAGAATTCCGGACGATGGAAAAAGTTAAAAAACCCAGTAATTCTGTGTGTCATCCACCTTCGTCAGAACCCTTTAGAATATATCAGGCGGAAGATACCTAGGCGTACAAGAGATGATACTAGGAACAAATCTTAAAGAAACAGGGGACAGACTAGATTCAATTCGCTCAGGTTGGGGTTCAGTGCCCGACGTTTATAAGCACGGTAATGAACCACCGGGTTCAATAAAAGGTAGGGATATTTTTGAGAAGCTGAGAGACTCTCAGCTTCTCAATAAGGGCTCTATTTCACGGCGTTGTTTCACACACACATAAGCATTATTTGTACTTTTCATATAGGCTATTTATGCTCTTTTGACAAATGTGATTTTTCCATTTGAGTTACAAGCCCACACCCTGTAATTTCTTTGGTTAGAGAATCCTAGTAAATCAGTAAGGGTAAAAATATGGTTCGGTTTATCCTCGATAGGAATACTGTAATTGTTTCGGTCTGCCACCAATTAATAATGACTTTGAGGTTCAATCAGTTTCGGCCTAAAAGATACGTCGGTCGGCTTCCTTGGCGACAAGACGTCCTGTCTCTACCGCCGCAAACATTAGCGTTGAATGTCATCTTCTCGCCCTCCGGCGTGGGCTTAGATACAGCACGATCCCTACATTGTATCCACAACTGTATCCTAGAGATGATTCAACAAAACGTTGGCATTGCCCTATAATATGAGATTGCTCTAATCGAAAATGTCACTCCCATTAAGACAGATAATAAACTAAAGAAATAAAGAGACAGACTGGAAACTGCGAACATAGTTCAAGGCATAAAAATTATCAATTAAACTCGTGGCAACGCGATGGATTTGAAGTTCTCGCAGCGATGGTTACGGGGAGTTCTATCTTCTGGGATACAACGCCGTATAGCCCGTTGAAAGTAAACAGACGTTTCGGAGAAAATGTCGCCTTCAGCTTCATGGTTGAAGTACAATATAATCCAAGCAAGAAACTAGCATGAAGCATGCAGGCTGATATCTCAGCAGACATAGCTCTTGAGGCAACGTGTTCATAGAATGCAAGAAATACATCATCCATAAAATTACACATACACACATACACAGGGATATGCTTCCAGAGGAAGAATAGATACAGGAAACTTAGGAGCAGATGGAAAGGCCAGTTTAACTTCTGGGCTACGTAACGGGGTCAAAGCATTCAATTCTTATGGAGGAGGTATGAAGTTTATGCATAAAATTGATGAAAACCCTCATAATGTAAGTAAAATTTCACACATCAAGCTGTAACGGTTCATGACATGTAATCACGAAATTAGCGGAGTGAGACGGGAGCCAGAAGTTAAGATTCTGCAAATATATAAAATCACACACATACAAAGTGATGCCACTATTCTTATTTCTCACGGAATTTCAAGTCGAATAGTGAAAATTCTGCTTCGTATTCGGGAAGTACCTAATTCGAATCCTGGTCCGGGGATAATAAAATTCTTATTCGTTTTCTCTATTCCCTCTAAGCAAATTCTTGGATAGTAATATAAAAATGGTCATGACTGCTTCTTTCTACATAATATTCCCATCATATAGGGCCTGTATCTCTCATTCGGCACTATACGTTACCCAGTTGAAAAGTACTATAATACGAACCACAAATTAATCAATCGAATTTCTCACACTACAAAACACCAATCCCAGACTATAATTTACGGACTGTTTTGTATGAGTCTGAAACTTGGTCTCTCGCATAAAGGGAAAGCATAGACGGAGAGAGACTTAAGATACGATGCTCGGTATATCTGGACCAAACAAGAGGATGCAGAAACTAGGGTACCACTTCCTGTCCTGTTCATTTTATCTCGATTATTTGTACTGTAGTTTCTACCGTCGTTGGCACACTGTGGGCCTCACACTACAACTACATTATAAACTTTAAATGTCATCTCTCTGTTTCATTCTGCAAAGAGTTTCATTTCTTTCCACACACGTTCTTATTTTTATCTACAGCCAATTCCCCGACATAAGAAATTAAGCAGCTTAAGAAATACATATAACTTGTATTTTAAACTCTGATGCAGTGAACAGACGCTATACAACGAATACAGTAAAGATTATTTAGACTAAATCAAATGTGCCGGTTACGGTAGCCCAGCGGTCTAAGGTGTGCACTGTCCTCCCTCGCTCGGAAGCCAGGACCGTGGGTTCGAATTCCACACAAGGCATGGAAAAAACCTGTTTGTGTGTGTGTGTGTGTGTGTGTGTGTGTGAGCGCGCGCGTTTTTCTACGTTTGTGTACAAGTAGCGGCCTTGCGACGAGCTGATCACCCGCCCAAGGAGTCCTACCGAATGTCTAAGCTCTAGTAAACAGAAATGAAACGGATAGTTTCATGGAGGTAGGCCAAGGCCCAAACTGGGGCTGTAGCGCCAAAAGAAAAGAAGAAACTGAAGTCGAAACTGGACTGCAGTGTGTTTAGTCGAATGCAGCCGCCCCTGCTCCCTCTGACGTACATTCATTTCAACACATGACACTTCTTAAGATCTATTTGATTTATTTTCTATTTTTAAAATGTCAGAATTTCTCCAGTACTAAACATAAACGTGAATTTTAAGTTGTCGAACTCAACAACCGGAAAGGACATGGACAAAAGCAGTGTTACGAACACCTTTAACACCATGCTCACATGTAATATAAGCAAAACTGCACTCTTTTCGGGCTTCCTTAAAGAAAACGTATGATGTATTCGCAGATGATACGTCCCTAGGCTGTGAATGTAAAACACTCTTTACTACAACAGACACTGACGCACATCTGCCGCATACTTCCAGCACTATTCGTTACTTGGGGCCGTAACTCAAATCCATATCTCCATATCTTAAATCTAACGAATATGATGAATTATATGACTATGAGGGCCCCCCCCCAATCTTCTACGGGTATATCTCCCTCGCGTCTCCCCTTCCCCCACACACACACTTGACGTGGCCCAGCGCCACAGTAGCTAAACCTTTACAGTGTTTTACAAATGGCTTCCCTTGTGAAAGGAAGGGAAGCTTGTTAACACAACATCTCAATTACAGAATTGGAAGTTACTCCATGAAGCAGAGTAATTCGTCAGAAGTTGATCGTCGCTAAGCCGGTCAAGATTTTGCCACACATTCCGAAGTACATTAGGTCTACCGTGGTCATAATAATTTTCATAACTGCCTCCCATGGGCTCCAGGTTCCTCAAGTGGTCCCCTCCCGGTCCAGGACCAGAAGGAATGACGACGCCATTTGGGAGACGCGGACGTCTTGGCCTGGAAGTGGCACCTGTAATCATATGGCTTAACACAGGGTCCGGTGCTGGACTTTTGTGAACGTGACAATGAACCTTGAGGTTCAGTAGAAAGCGGGATATTTCTTCTCGAGTTGGTTATTTAACGACGCTTTTAGTATTGAGCTCATTGGAGCGTTGAAGGAGGTTCCTTGATTAGCTATCCGACTATTAGCATTCCATGAAAAACTCGCTGTATGGAATTATTTTCAATAATCAGTCAAAGTCCTATTCATGCTACATGCTCCACCTATGTCATCTTGCTTTATTTGACCGATTAAGATTACAAATTATGGTCTTCGATATGCTAAGTCACTTAGAAATTGGATTTTCTGCTTTTGGTACAAAATGGAGTCAGATCAACAGTGCAGAAGATAGAGTTCGTTAGTGACGGAATGTCTTACATTAGTACGAGGCTGCTGGTGACACAATGTTTTCTGAAAAAAAATGCGACATGGCACAAAATATGTCTATTCGCTCAACAAAGCAACACCCCAAAAATACGTATTTTTGTTCTGT